GAGCAGCGGATTGAACGTGTCGAGGAAGTGATACTTCAGGTATGGCGCATCTGAAATGAGTAAGAATGAAGCGCGTTTTAAAATAATTGTTGAATTCGGATTGAATTTAAAATCTGTTTCTTCAAAGCTTGGGCTATCAAAGTGCGCTGATACTTACATAGGAATTCCGGGACGGCTGCGAGGGATCTCGGGAGGAGAAAAGAAGAGACTGTCATTCGCCTCGGAGGTAGGTACTCTAGCCGAAGTTCCCATACTGTCGGAAATTACAGCTGCTTTTTTAAGTATAAATAAGTGTGTTCTCTCTCTCTCTGTACCTGTTATGCAAGTAAATCACAGGTACAGTAAAGGTAACCCCACTGCTCCCTCCCCCTCTTGCATATCACCGATACCCATATATACTCTTGGATAAATCGAGCCCTTGTGGGCGGAAAGTGGCTCTCCTCAATACAACATCATAACGATTCGGCCAGAGCTAAAACCCGAAACCAATCCCGATTCCCAACACGAACCCAAAAGGTGTGAAACATCCCCTTTGCAAGCTGAAAAGTAAAAAAAACTCACTTTTTCAACAGATTATAACAGACCCTCCATTGCTGTTTGCTGATGAACCCACCTCAGGGCTTGATTCATTCCTGGCCCAGAGTCTGATAACAGCTTTGCAGCAGCTTGCAGCTCAGGGAAGGACAATTATCTGCACAATTCATCAACCATCCTCTGAAGTTTACGCCATGTTTGACAGGTAGTCAATCACCTTTTTGACGTATTGATACCACTTGCACAAAAGCACCATCTGAATACCTATAAAAACTGATATGGGTTGAAATCATCTGTTGGTAGAATGGACACCATAACCACATCATGAATGACAAAAAAAGAGACGAAAGAGTTGAAGAAATTGCGAACCCTGCCGAATAATTTTTCTCCACCAGATAACAAGCACTTTTAGTCCGCAGAGAAAGAATGTTACGTAGCCGCAACTATAATTAAATTTTTCCTCATTTCAGGACTGAACGTTATGTGAGAACGTTTATCAATATGTACTTATTTGGACTTTATTATCACAACAGTTCCTGTCAAGTTTTCCTTTTTTGTAAACCTTGTGCGTTTGTTGCAGGTAGTACTTTTGTATCATGAAGTAAGAAAATGTCAGCAGCCAAGTTAGAGGCCATAAATATCTGTTCTTACGATGATTAATCAAGAAAGTTCTTTTTCTTTATTAGTATCTTGCTGTTGGCAGAAGGAAGAACAGCTTACATGGGCTCCAGAGCTGACGCGATCCAGTATTTTGAAGGGTAAGTTTTCCTTAAAAATAAAGAAATGTCACTGAAAAGATGCATTTTCATCATAGATTTCTTTGTTACCGCTGCACTGGATTTCACGATGATCGGGAGGCAATTGCATGAAGGTTTTTCTTTCTTGAGCAGTGCTGATGGACAGTCTTGATCAGCCCCTTGTTCAAAGACTGACCTTACTGATTTTTGTACCGATGAGGACACTCCTTCGGGCTAAAACTTTTCAAGTTGGTTGGTGTTCATGAATACTAACTCGTCATTATCGCGAAAAGAACTTCTATTTCTGATTCATATGATACTGCTTGATTTAAACGCGTCATGTGACCGAATATGCACACTATGAGCGCGCCAAATTTAGGATCATTGACAATCAGGTATTAAGCTCGACATATCTATTGGTCATCACGTATAGAAATCGAGAGCGAATAATCTAATTGCTTTAATATAAATCTACCTGTCTTTTAAAACTTAGCTACAAGCCAGAGGTTCCTGTTTTTGTGTGTTTAGAATCACACAATATTTAATTTGTGATAATTGCAATTAGGATTAATTACTATTGTTCAGGCACGTTTATTAGCCGTTGTCTTCTGGAGTATATCATGTTGTTCATGGGATACCCTTAAAAATCCCGAAGGTGCCACTGGTGCCTTGGTTGGGGGTACACGTTCCCCGTTTCTTTTTCCCAGCTGCTGGTTTTCAGGGGTTCTCGTGTCCGGTTTTGGTGCATTTAGTTTCCTTCAATCGTATTAAACATTTTTAAGCACGTTGGTGTTGAATAAACGGCACGGCTACTTGGCTGGCCAACGCGCCCAGATGTCAACACTTTGTGCGCCCGTTTGAATTGTGGATGCAAATTGTTTGGTTACTCATTTGCTTACTATTTATTATGGAATAGATAGCGAGTGGATTAGCCAATCAGATTGCAGCTTTTGCAAGTAAACGCTAGTAGATTTATACTAATCAGCTTTACAACTATCAGGGTCATATCTTTTTTTGTTATCACCAACATAACGGTGTTGTTTTATTTGTACAGTTTGAGTTATCCTTGTCCAATCAATTTTAATCCTGCTGATCACTTCATTCACACGCTCGCCATCGTGCCTGGTGATGAGGAAAACTGTCTCACCAGGGTCAAGGTTAGAGAACATAGTCTTTTCCTTTACTTCTAATAGTTAGATATGACGAATTTAGAGTGAAGGTTTGAATTTGTGCAAAAACCCAAAATGGTGCACCCGCCACCTTGCGACGTCTTTTGGCGAGAACAAAGGCTAGTATAATTATAATCTCATTTATGGATCACTTAAACATCTCACTGCCACCCAGGTCCATCAGTAATTCTCCTCACTGTCTGCCATACAATTCTTATGATATTAATTTAGAGAATTTGGTATTGGATCAACTAATAATCCCCTAATTGATATTTTTCTTTATTCTCATCACTTGTTCGCTTTATGATGTGATGATACTTTAAGGAGAAATTCTGTCTTGGTCACACGTAAGATAGAGTTAGAGGGTTAAAAGCATCCACAAATTACAATTCTGCATTGACATAGGAAAGGGTTAGGGGTCTCAATATTTTGTTAGTCTTACACAATTCTTTTTGTTGCATTTTATTCTTTGTTTTTCTTTTTGTTGTTTTTCAACAAAAAGAACGTTCCTTTTTCATTCACAAAATATCTCCTATTGAACATTTATTACAATACATTCGTGTTTACCAATTTTGAATGTTGTTCAGGAAATCTGTGATGCGTACAGGGAAAATAACACTAACTCAATTTCTTCAGAATCCTTGGGAAAACAAGTAAGTGCAATAAAATAGAAAATTGACAATCAATTAGTTAAATAATAAATAACATCTACTGATAAAAAAAGAGACTCGTTATTACTTTTCAGTCGACACACGAACCTTTCACCCAGGTTATTTCGTGACCCTTATAGCCACATTCACTACCGTAAAAAAATTTGAGTATTTAATGCCATCGTACAGTGTTTAAAGACCAAAAACATCACCACAGAATAAAGGAGAGTATTGTTTCTGTAATATATGTATTGCAATGCTCTACCAGGCCAAATATGGTCAACAGGGCGAATAAATTTCCCAGTCTTGTTACATGACCGGCGTTGCTTCATTTATGACTTGAAATGGCATGTTCTTTTTTTCTAGGATTCTTTCAAAGATGAAGTTTACAGACGTTCACCGTAAGATTTCTCTCTACGTTTAACTA